ATGTTCACCATGCTAAAATTTAAAATTTTTAAAAATATAAAAATTAGAATGTTAAAACAGAAATATTAAATTAATCTTAAAATGTACAGTAGGGCCTATGGTAATATATTGTTTATAAAAAAAACATATAATGCTATGAAACCATCCACGAACATTCCAATTTTAGTTTCTAAGAATTGGTAACCACTAGATTATAATTTACGTCTGTAGCTTAGAGAGGTAAAACACTGTAATAGTTAACGATTAAGTAAAAACAGCACTTACTTGACCAATTGAATTAATTTCCAGATTGTTGTCTCCACTTAGGCCATAACCTACATTCTCCTGGATATGCAAATTGGACCCAGCATAGCTAGATGTCTGGTCATTCCTTAGTGATTCATTTGCTTGAGGGCTATATATCATTGGATAGTTGTCCGAGACATCACATGTTTCAATAAACTTTGTTGATTGGTTGAAACGATCTGCTAAGACCGTTCGACATGAGGACACTGACAGATTGCTGTAGGTACTTGATGGCACCTTCCAAAAACTGCAACTTGCTGGATTGAGTGCCCTGTCAGGTAATGGTTCCATACTATTTCTGCACTTGGCAGCAACTGTATCATTTTTGTCCAATTTATTTTGCAGTGACCTAACATCAAGAGAATCTGGAAGCTTATTGGATGAAGTTGTTGAATAAGAATTAAAGCTCTCTAATTGGTTGAAAGTGCACACAGTACTTTGACCTTCATTTGAGGGGTCATTGGATTGAGTAGTAGTACAAGGTTGACCTAAATGTGAGGGGATAGTAGTAATGCTTTGAGCAGGTAGACATTTTCCAACAGTTAACAGGTGGTTTAGTTGTTTGAACTCTTTAGACCATTCACCATAGTCAATCCCATGACTTGAATTTTCTGGTTCTGTTGTATATGACAGAGTCCCTGATATTTTTTCAGTAGTAGTAGTAGTATATGCAGATAATTCCATTGATGTACCTGAACCAATCTTTAGATCTGGGTTTTGAAGCTCTGATGAAAAGTCAGGTAAATCTTGGAAACGCCCCTCAGCCTCAGAAGCACTTTCACTTACTTCACTCATTTTTTCAGCTTGTAGATTGTGTAGCCGGTCTACCATATGCCTAGGCAATGCCCTGATAATGATATCTAAGCCTATGGGGAAGAAAATAAAAAGACAGGTTAGCAAAAAAAACTATGGCAGAGCCAAGCCAAAGGAGGTATAAGTCGCACAGGCAGTTTTTCAATAAATGCACAAACGTAAAATCTGTCATTTTTTTTTAAATCTCTAAAACATACATCCTACAGTTACCTTTCTCTGATTTATAATCGATAAATGCTCTAAAAATGGTATTTAAGAGGGCCTGTCCCAGCGTACAGACATATGGCTGAGCGGTTAAGGCAGGGCACCGTGATAATAGCCAACAATATCGGCACAGGTTTGCGGCCAGCTCGCTCCTATAGTGCTGGTGGTGGAACAAGTCTTCTCTAATAAGGACTATAAACCGTAGGCCCAGTGTACACAAATGCTCATGTGCACTTTAAAGAACACAGTACATCTTTCGAGATGAGTAGGGGGGGTTACCCTGGTGTATTGGTTCACTCGGCCCCTGTCGTGGACAGACGAAAGTGCGCCGGTTTACTGGCGCCTGCAGAGGCCATGGAGTGACCCTCAGGGGAGGAGAAAGTTATTGAAAATTGCAACATCTAGTTCTGAGTGCATAGAGACCTTGTTTACTTGCGCTATATAATCCATCTATTATTATTATTTTTATTATTACAAAATCTGATTTTCAAAGCCAGTTTTCTCAAAATACACTTACCAAGTATCCTAACTTTGATTGCCCATAACTTGCCATAAACAATCATATCAAAGTGATTTTTTTTTTTACATTTTGAAGATTATAATGTCTAGTTTCATAATATGCACAAACCTCAATTTTGAAAATTTGGACTTATCCGTCCTTTGGCTTGGCTCTTCCACATATAATTCACCAACACAAATTGGATTCTTATTGTATTTAAAAATGACTTGTGATATTTTCATAGGAGGGTTACCACCAGACTAACGTGAAAAAATGGGGTTTGTGCAAATGAGCCTAGTCTATCCATATGCCAGTCAATTCGAGCGGATGTCAGTTCAAGCGGATGCCAGTTCGAGCGGATGCCAGTTCGAGCAGATGCATTTAGTGCAAACTATAACAAGGGCGAATTTATCGTCGCCGTATTCTTGTATTTGTTTGTTTAAATGCAAAAAAATGCTCTGATTACTAAGGTTCTGAAAGGTTTTTAGTACTTTTTGATAATTACTCCATGATTGAATTACAGTCTTGGCAACTCCGTCTACCAAGATGGCCGCTAACAAGTTGAAACTATAATAGAATTGTGCACTTTTCAGCTTCAAAAAGAAGAAAGGGTATGTTTTACTAGAGTGCACAAGGAGCACACACACAAGACGAGTGACCATTATTTTTTTCACAGTAAATAAAGTGGGGTGGCTAGCCACCCTATTCACCACCCCTCCCCCCGCCCCACTTCCCCAGATCCGCCACTGGTTGGGGTTCTGTATTTAAAAAAGCAAATTATATTTGTAATTGAGTTATGCTACTCACTTATCTATTCTGGAATTGTTGTGTGCCCCCTTCCTTCCCTTTTGAAAATGTCCAATTTTTAGCTCAAATTATATTTGTACATAATTGAGTTATGCTACTCACTTCTTATCTATTCTTGAACTGTTGTGTGCCCCCTTCCCCTTTGAAAATGTCGAATTTTTAGCTCAAAAATAGGAAATTTTGAAGTAATTCGTATACAACTTGCTCAAATAGCATCCGCTTGAAAAAAAATTCCGCTCGAATTGGCCTTCGCTCGAAGTAGCATCCGCTCGATTTGACTGCTTCCCGTCTATCCTCCGCACAAAACTTTATTATTATGTTTATGTATGGCTAGAAATCCATCCACACATTTCCTGCCTACACCATACCAAGCCAGGCATGGCCTTCCCCCCAGCCCCTACTTTTGGTTTTCTTAGGCTAGCTAAACTAAGAAGGCCTCTCTAGGCTAGGCCTAGGATCTAGGCCTAGTTGTAGTGTAGTAGCAGCAGCAGGATCTTAGTAGAAGTAGTAGAGCAGCAGCAGCAGTAGTAGGTTAGTAGCAGTAGTAGTAGGTAGTCATGGAATGACGTCCGGTTCGGCCGCGCACTAGTTCGGCCACGAGATATCTAGGCCCCTAATGCCCAAATGAGGGTTATTGTATGGAACGCGTAAGTATTATTGCTGACTAGCTAGGAGGAGAGCCTAGCCTAGATAGTAGTAGTAGTAGGCCTAGGCCTAGGCGATCTCGGCAGGCCTATCTATGCTTAGCTTAATATATATTTTCTAGCTCATTTCGAACAATAGCACTAGGCCTAAGTAGTCAATATATATCAAGTATACGTACTATATCAATAAATTGGCAATTTTCTAAATATTAACCCAACACATCAATCAATATAGGCTATTTTGTGTCTTACGTACATTTGTGTTTACGTGCAAACCAAAACCAAATTGCACGGGATTCCGAGATTCTGCTATACGCGCGTGTGATTGGGTGGATTGCAGTCACATTACTTACACCGGCCATGTTGTCACCAAAACAAAACATTGGCGAGCCACAAACTAACGCGATATGATATAAAATCCCATAATTGAATTGTCCTCATGAAGAATAAATAAAGTTTTTTTTTTCTCTCTTTTGTGTGGAAGAATAAATAATGTTTATGCAACATCAGTGTTTTGAATAACATGACATTCATTGCTATGCGCCACGAAAACATGGACATAAAGAATCTCCCTTTCACACATTCTCCATTTTACAAAAAAAGGTCGACAAGTCATCGTATTCATCATCATCATCATCGTTGTTAACAACATGAACCTTTAATATTGTTAAGTCTATATAATATATATTTTTATGTATTATATTATTATTGATATAGGCCGAATATTTGTTAAGAGCAGATACCATTTTTTGCATAAAATTACATCTATTACCACCCTTTTTATTATTAATATAATAATAATTATTATTATTATTAATATTATTATTATTATTTTATTATTATTGTAATATCTGTATATTATTGTTATAATTTCTATTACCGTATTATTATTATTATAAATATTATAATCATTAATATTATTATCATTAGTCTTAGTATTATATTTATAATTATACTATAATGTATCACAATATTGCTATTGTTGTTAAGCAAGATTGTTAATCTTAATTAAGTAATATGATAAAAATCTTTACTAATACTAAGTGATAATGATGAAAAAAAGGGGGTGACACCAGCGGAGGGGGGGGGGGTTAGAAACAGCATTTCCGGTCATTTTTTAGCAAAATGTTTTATTACATCAAATAAAAAAACATTAATGTTCTGAACAAATTGGCACCAAAATTTACTCTCTACCACCAATGGTTACGGAGATATGATGACCCTATAGCTATGACCTTTGACCATGACCTTTTGACCTTTCGCCACATTTTGAAAATGTGTTACCAAGCCAAAAATGCCCCTCCCAAAACCACCCCACCCTCGCTCGTGGCTTCTCACCTCCCATTATCCACCCCCTATTGCTAAATCCTAGTCCGCCACAGGTCATAATCCACATTAGCCAGGGCAATTCAAACGAGTCACCAAATTTACAGTCGCCGAAGTTTTTTTTTTTTTTTTTTTAAAGTATCGAAATGCACGCCGTGTCAGGATTCAATATTTCGATATTAATTATTAATGCGTACATCCTGGATCACGTAAGGCGTACGTACGCCTTAATAAGGCGTACGTACGGGTTACAAGGTGTACGTACGACTTTTTAAGGCGTCGTACGTTTTAATAAGGCGTACGTACGGGTTAGGAAATATATTTTTAAAAAAATGCACAGTGTCTCTTAAACAGCTTCGTACGAAACAGACCGCAATAATAAAGATTAAACAATCACAACAACCAAACTTTGTTTGGATCAGCAAATAATTTTTTTTCTATTTTTCAGAAATATACAAGCACTGTGTATCAACAAATTCTTTACAATAAAATAAATCAAATCACTGACAAATAGTACCATGCATTCTTCTATTAATTATCGGCAGAATAAAATATCTGTCTATTTAAATACCGTACTCGCGCGAATATGCGCCCCATTTGAATAAGCGCCCTCTCATAAGATTTTCTTTGTAGCAAGTCAATAATCCAATCAATCCAGGGACTGTGGTTGTTGGCATGATTTGAGCTGTAGAGTGGAAACACATTCTTCTTCAGTCAATATTAAAATAAGGATATTTCTCTTGGACAGATGAGAGCTCCGATCCCTAGACAGACAGTATATTTCCAACTTTAATCTTTATACATATTTGTCTATGTCTATAGTCCTACTCCTCTTTTTCTTTTTTCGACCTTAAGCACATTCTCATCTGAGTTTTCAAGAAAAATACAATGATCCTGCCATCCGGCTAATCTCAATCGGCCCGGATGGCTAACAAGCTAACTACCCACCACTAATTGCATTTGCTATTTTGCTGTTATGTAAATATTCACGCATTCTTGTTATGAGCCATGTTCTCTGGACGATTATCTTTTGTAACCCCCATTCGTAATGTCCTTATATAATCTTTTTTTTTATTCAAAAAGTGCCTCTTGAATTTTTAATTATTAAAATAATTTCCCATAAGAACCCCTCGACTTTCATCTATTTCCATAAGCGCCCCCTCAATTTCCACTCTGTTTTCATAAGCGCCCCGTTTAAATAAGCGCCCCTCAGAAAGTGCAAAAATATTTTAAGCGCCCGGGCGCTTATTCGCGCGAGTACGGTATGTTTATTATAAAGGATATATTTTCAGGTTCCATTAAAATTAGTGTAGTGCTAATAAAATAATATATAAAAAGTTTTTTTTTCTAATCATATGGGACAAATAAATGAATAAAGGAACGTAGAAATAAAAAAGGCTGAAATAATAGCCTATAACTAGTAGGCCTAAATTAAAACTTAATCGTAACAAACGGTACCATCCTATAGTGGGCTAATGTTGATGGAAACTATCTGAAAATTTGGTAGAACCCTACCCCCAAAATCGTGGATCTTGCCCTGTGGCAGGCCCATCATGATCTGTAATATTGTTTACATCAATTGCCTATCATATTTATTTCATATCTTCCGTCATTACATTAATGAAATATACATAACCCTAATATTGACATAGAAAATTAAGTTCGCAAATATTATACACTAAAAACGGTATCAATCAGCTTAAACGTATCGGCAAGAAAGAATTCACAAGTTAATGACTAGTAAGTACCAAAATAGGTGCTTTAGATTAGGCAGTGGCTTTTGTTATTTTAACAGTTACATCATTTGCCAACAAATTTCTAATTTTGATTGGATGTTATTGTTTTAATCAAACCATGCATACAATAACATCCAATCAGAGTAAAGCCTCCTATTTTGAATATACCGGTTAGAGAGTTCCGTTACCTCTGAATCCGCTTCATTATTCTCCTAGTGTGAGCAGCGGAGGAGGGTGTAAACTGAGAAAGATACTGCGGGTGAGTACCAGAGTATACATTTAACAGGCCTGTAGGCTATTGTTAATATATAATGTAGGCCTAATATTAGATGTTATTCTGATGAAGTTTACACGACCGGTTAATTAATAATGGTTTTCAATTGAGAAGTTGTTACTATCTCAGGCCTAGTTTTAGAAAATGGCTAAATTAAAGTACGTTGAAAGATTTACTTTGCTATATCATAGCATTTTCTGAAGCGAGACACATACGGGTTCTACTAGCATACCGTGACTTAGTACCGTACTTAATGATTTTGCATCTTCGACGTTATCATTGTGATTCATATAGATCTAAGTGACTGTATTTAGCCTAAACATTTTCGATAGATCTAATGGCATTGGGAAAAGGTATGCTTATATAATACCACCCATGTATATATTGTTTCGAAGTTACTCATGTAACTAGTGCACTTATGACAATGTTTGCTCGTGTTGTATTGCAGGCCTTACAAGTGGATGTCATAATTCTGCCGTCCATTGATACAAAACAACAATTGTTGCGCCATTCAGTCAGTTTCTGCGCCAAAACTGCAAAGAGTTGTTGGGCCTTTATTGGAATTGATTAAACGTTATTTGACTTTTGGCATCTATATCTATGTCTAATCGTCCCATATCTTATTTCATTTCATTGCATTTCATTTTCATTTCATTTAGTCGAATACAACAACTTACATCTACCTTATTCTATTAACATGCACGTAATCAGCACATCGATAGAATATAATTATTTCGTAGGTTTTATTTTATTACTGTTATTTTATTTAAAATTTATTATACTGTCGTAATGTTAGCTTTTTAAATCGTTATTATAGGATTTATATTTTATTGTTGTTTTACTATTTAATATTTATTATTATTATTGTTATTACGTTATGAATCACGTAAATTTCGTAGACGCCACTAGTCAAATTTTCAAATACGAAATTAATGCAATTTTATATTTGGTATTTCGACGTTTGCACCTTTTTATCCTCCTTGACGGGCTGATTTGATGAACGCCATCGCGTCTTCGAGCATCCAAGCATCAATCATAGTAAGAACTAACTTGTATTGAAACCAAGAAGCTAATATATAAACCTATATAATACCTTTTTGGTTAAAATGTGATGTTGCATTTATTTCTACTAACACACAGGTGTATACATTAAGATTTACTTTTTCAGGGCAACGAAGCTAATAATAATTATGGAGATCATCCATCATCTTGTTGATACTATGCAATATTAATACTTTATAGGAAACTTGGCTAGATTGTACATTAGAAACAAGGTTTAATAATTATCGTATCATACATAATTGCGATGATAATATAGGTGAACCATGGATTCCATGGCTAAACTTCGGTAGGCATTCAAATCTTCATGCTAGGCCACTGTCACTAGATGCTGATAATCTTACATTATATATCCAATAACATTTGACAACATCAATTTATCATATTACACAGCATCAACTAGACTATTTATGAATGTATGTATTATGAAAAAATTGTACTAACACATAGGCTGATATAGAATAAAACAGTTGTTGTTTAATTATGTTGATTATATGCAAATGTGACGGAACCACAGGTAAGTTACTAACACAGCAAGACATCGCCTCGAGCATCCAAGCATCAAACCAAGTAAGTCAACTAACCACTATAGGATTGTTTGTGTAGAAAAAACAATCGTACTAATATCATACCCAATGCCCATCTTGTAAACCACTTTATATAAAATCGTAGTATTTTTATTTATTTATTTTTTTTTATTCGTGCCGATAGTGGGTTAGGTCAGTATTTGATAGTAGCAGGTGCTGCCTCAATGCGTCTTCAATTGTATACCTATGAAATTGTTGCAATAAATCTGTACAAACAAATGTGTCTTGTCTCTTTTTTTTACATTTTGTATCTGTCTCTTTTTAATCACATCTATAATCAGCCCTCCTATACCAAACATTGTATCCCTATGAATTTGTTTCAATAAATTGGTACATTAGAAACATGCGTTTATGACTCGTTTATTTAACATCTTCAGAAGTATTTTATCAGAATCTGTTATGAATTTTAATTTTGTAAATGAAAAATAATAGTAAATGGAATTCATTTACAATTGTTAAAATTTCAGTGTATGTGTAAATCCAAGATGTATAATAACTAATAGCATGTCTTTTATTTCAGAAATATTAAGTTTGTTGTCCACAGACAGTAAGGCGACGAATACCTCGTGCATCACAGGTCTTTTTCGCCTATGCATGTGTGCGGAATAAATAAATACGTTATACGTTCAATATTCATAATAACTTTAAAGTTCATTTCATTTCAGAAAAAAAATATCTGGTGATTTTGATGATGCTTGAGGAAATATGCTAATAGGCCTATACTGATTGGATAGTGGTACTTCTGCCGATGACTAATTGTCGACTTGGAATGAGAAAAAAATATTAATGATGATTGTGATGATGACGGTAGCGATGAATATTTAATAATGACGATTAATTCAGATTTTAAAGTTGTGGTTAGTTCATTTGAGTTGTGATTTAAACCGACTTTGTTATTACAACATACAATGACAAATGATGGTGATGAATGGCAGTGATGACGATTAACGACAATGAAATGGTGTATCTAAACTTGCAAAGGTAAGTTGTGAGATAATGTTTGAATGTCTGAAAGTTTCCAAGGCGACTTTGTGAGGTTGTGAAATGACGTGATGTGAAGCTAGGGCTATCACAGGCCAAATCTATACATTTATTGTGTTTTCATTTTAGAAAAAGAAAAAGAAACGACATATTTCGATAATGCATGTGAATTTCCGAATAAATCAAATCAATTTGCTATGTGGAGTAGTGCCTCGAGTCTGATGGAGAACTGTAGACATTAAGTGCTCATGGGGATAACGATAATAGAGGACAGTGATGATAACGATGGTGATGATGAAATGGTAGACCTGAACTTAAAAATTAGGTAAGTTTCAATGCATTGTGCTTGTGAAATGATGTGAAATAAACCTATAGTAATGCATGGATGGTGAGCTTACTTGCTGTGACTGCTATTTTGTTGAAATTCTGTGATGTTTACATTAGCAGATCCAGGATATTTTGGCAGGTGTTGGAGCAAGAGTGACGATTAAAAACCATCCTTTTTCGCTAAGTGTGTTTAACATATTGAACTGAATTTATTTGGTATAAAACATGATGATTTGAGTTCATATTTCTTAATTACACTTTAATTATTTACGTAGTAATCGGTACGCAAGGCTTTAAATGCTTATGGACTGTCCTCCGACCTGACTGGAATGTAGTGTGATCGATTTAAAAACAAGGAAATATTTGGACGTCGATTGTTAATAATATGGTATGGTGATGGACGACTATGATATTAATAACGAAAGTTGATGATGCTAAGGTGAGTTTCAATGGCTTTTTTTAATTGCCCGTTTGATTATGCACTCTGTTCTAAATGACAAAAAGGGCTGCAACAGCGGTGTATCAAAAATTACATAAAATAGTTAACCAGCAGCCAATACTTCAATCAAGTTCTTCCTTCCCCCTGCCATTTGAATACCCTAGACATGCCTCTGGGCTGCAACCTATTATGCAATAAACAATGCTCTTGCATTGTTAATAAACAAGTGTGATGTCTTTGCTGTGATAATTTTGCGAATTATTTACTTAATTGTTTGTATAGTTCCAACCAATTGGTTTATTAGATCCCTCCTTCCATTTTAGAGATATTAATTTTGTTTGAAAGCTCAGTCCGCAGTTATTAAGCTAACAAATACCTGTGTATGGACACATCACAAACTTGATAGCTTGTACACAGTTTATTGTTAAGCTTTGTCTACACTATTATATATCATCAAAAAGTGTCACATAAAATGTGACGTTCAACTTTTTTTTAACAGTTTGATATGTGATATATATGACGTCATCGTACCCATATATGTGCAAATTTGATAGTGTAGACAAAGCTTAAGATTGTACCTTTTAACGAAATTCTATTAATTTTATAATTTTATTTTTGCCATTATCATATTATTGTATTATTATATTATTATTATTATTATTATTATTATTATTATTATGCATTGTCAACTGTATGCGTGTGTGCAAAATAAATAAGTATATTCCATGCGTTTGGCTACTCCTTAGGATGCCCATTCAATACATATTTTATAACATTTAATATTGTTTTATTTCAGAAAGAAACCTGGTGATTTTGATAATGATGCTTGTGGATATATGCTACGATTGTCTGGTGGCTCTTGTGCGAATGGATAATTTATCAACTTGAATTGAAAACATAATTAGCAGTGACGATGATGGTGATGATGATGAATTTGATGATGATGATTGTGAAATGATGATGGTGTAAGCAATGTAGACCTTTTCATATCGACATGAAAGGAACATTGAACGAATACGATGATATAATTAATATAATAATATGATGATAACGATGTTGTTGCTGATAAAATGACGTTAAAACAATAACGACGATGATAATTTTACGGTACTTGATTACAAGTATCAGACTCTTGAAGCTTTACTTTTGCTTATCTTGGATCCAAATATGGACTGCAAAGTTTGGGTGGTTCCTGGGAGCTTTTAGTGAGTTGTGATTTGAGTTGATTAAGAGACTTTGCCTATTAATTACAACATAATAAAATGACAGATGACGGTGATGATTAAAAAGACAGCGCCGTTGACTTTGTAGTGACGATTAACGATAACGAAATGGTGTAACTGAACCTGCAAATGTATAATTTGTCAGATGATGTTTGAATGCCTGAAAGTTGAGCTTGTTTGAATTATGAAATGACAACTATTGGGCTATGCATAAGCATAAATTTTAAAACTTTCAGACCAAATTGCTTCAATGTGTTTCTTTTGATGGTGAATACCGAGGACGATGATAATCATAACGAATATGATCTTATATAATGGTGGCGATATAATGATCTTGGTGACGATGAAATGGTAGAACAGCTTGCAAAGGTAAGTTTGAATGCCTAGGGCTTGTGAAATGATGTGAAATCAACCTATGGATAGACTATTGGTTAACGTATTTAAAGTGGCTATTGTATAGATGAAATTCTGTCGGTAACTGAGAGCCTGGCATTAAATTAAATGTTGACATTGGCGAAGCCTGGGTAGTTTTACCTGAGTTAAGACGGGCGAGTGAAAATCAAAGTCCGAGTTTATTGAAAATTATTACTAATTCCAGTGTCCAGGAGCCATGTCAGTTCAAATGATTTCAAACTTCACTAGTGTTTGTTTGTTTGTCTTGAAGGTTTGGGAGATGGAGCAGGCATCCTTTATGCAAATGTCAATTGTTTTCATCAGGTTTACGCAGTACATAATTTGTAAACACAGTGCAACAGAAGTGGTTGATATGCAAGGCCTTGAATTCTTGTGAACTGTCGCCGACTTGAACATACTGAAACCGTGTGCGACCGACTTAAAAGGAATCTACTGGTGGACATTGGTGGATTAAATAAATCTTGATTCTACTAAAGGTTGGCTTCAACGTTGCTTTCTTTAAATTATACTACCAAATTGGGTTATTAGATCTACATGGGTGTTTTTCATCCTAATGAACACAAATCATGTTTAACACAAATCATTCTTTTCACGATGAATGTTACTATTATTTTCGCAGGAATTCGGAGCTGTGATCAAGCTAATACCAGCCCTGACCCAGGAAGCGAATTTTGTCAGCAGAATAACATCCGTTCAAATGGAATGAGCCAATGTGGTCGATTTAATTTAGAAATGCTGAGTATTTTTGCAAATGTTAAAGAACACAGAACGTACAATTAGATATTATGACGAAGACTATTGTCATTGCAATTGGTAATATTAAATATAGGCTATATAGTAATACTTAATAATATAAAATAATATTTTCTATTAAAAAAATAAAAGCCTACATTTTAAATAATTAACAACCGTACGAATACAGTATTCATCAATACAATTACTTCTTTGTTCGTTTTGTATATTTGTCATCCTACATGTAGTTGCTGTTTGTTTCGTACATTACGGTTTAATATCACTTTCATCATTTCATTTCGTCCTAATCTAGTCCACCCTCTCTCATATCTAACTAAATTTGGCCTATAGATATGTTGTAGTTTGTCAGGTTAGCTCGATAGATAGGTCGTAGTTTAAGGTGTAGAGTACGTATTAGCTAGGTTAAAAAGTAGATTTCCAAAATGAGAGAGGAATGGGCAATACATTAACCTCCTTCATTAACATCAATTCAATGTATCCTATCATTACTGTATTGTATAACAGACATTACTCTTCACATTGTGTTCGTCCAATCAGATGATGTGTTATAAAAATAGATCCATAAATTAAAGTTAACATATAAAATAAAGACACAAATAATTATAAAGTATAACAATTGCAATGATATGTGCTGAAGTAATTTCTTGTGAAACTGTTATCATTTGCTATATATTCAGTTGTAATAATTGTGATGTTGATGCAAATAAATTATTAGTAAGGCCGATATTATGCTTAATTGTATAGGCCTATATTTTTTCGCACCGGCATTATGAGCATATATTAAATGTTTGATGTTAAACCTATACCTAAAATTAAAATTCTTGAATGACTTCCGACCAGTATCATTAACATAATGAAATGTTTTGAAAAATTATATTCATAGTACTCATTTTTTTAAATTCCTTTCTAAATAATGTGTATAAACATCTGCAAAAGCCAAGAGCTTTTGTAAGGTCAGTTTTTATAGATTTTAAGTGCCTTCAACACTATTGTTCCACACATATTGCTAAAAAGACTTTTCTTTTCTAGAATTTTGTCAGGTATTTTTAATTTCTTGACCACGGCGAGTTAAATGTTATAGTATAACGTCAACAGTTAGTAGCTTAAGGCTATGTTCTCACACGGCTGCTAAAGGTTAGCATGATCCGGATCCTGCTAACCGTTAGCTGCCGTGCGTCCATACGAGAAAATCTCGATCCGGATACCAAAATATGATGATCGAATCACTGGCCAATAAGAAAATGGAAATTGTAAACGCGTACGTGTGATTGGTTAATGATAAAACGCACTCAAATTGCTAACCGATAGCGCTTGCTAACGGTTAGCGCTAACCGATCCGGATACTAGGGCTCTAGTGAGAACCAGGCAATTCTGTATTGGTGTTCCGTAAGGATGTGTTTTGTCTCCGTACCCGTTTCTTTTATATTCAAGTAGTTTTAAGATCTTGGATTCTCACTGCAAAATTATAAAATACGCAGATACAGTAATTAGTGGATTTATTGATAACGGTGAAGTTAAAACTAAATGATTGTTTAAAAATAAAATATTGTACATAAATAATCCGGTACCACCAGGCACTGTTGATAATGTTAATAGATAATTCTGTTAAGTGTAATTTTGGCCTAATTTAACAAAGTTTTATGTGTAATATAATGTTTGATATTCTTTGTATGTAGGCCTATATCTTATGACTTAATTTGTTTGGTGCTAATAGTTTTATATCCTTGTGTATTATTAACACTGACAGTGGAATGTAGTTTTACAGACAATAAAAATTGAATCTTGAAACTCTTGAAACTATTATATTTTTGAATCTTGAAACTATTATCATAAATACTTGTTTGATGAGAGTTCGACGTGAAGAGAGTGTGAGAGGTCAAGTATACAAAAATGTAGAGTATAGGTATTCTCGACTACATATGCAGTATATACAGTGGGACAACCTTTTAATTAAGGGGAACATTTTTCTGCTCGTGAAGATGTCCCTTTAAGGCTTTTACTGGGATAGAATACTTAAAATACAAAATTGAGTTATTTCACAGTGGTATTTTCATGTATTATAGTAATAATATATAAATACATAGTTTGCATACTTTTCAGGAGAAAATAAACATCTGGAAGGAAAACAATATTACTCTATTAACAAACCAACGATCATTAAAATAAAATAATAATGTTATGTCAATATGTATGAAAGCAGTCAATAATGTAAAAAAAAAACCCCTTAAGACGTACTCACATACAATATACAACTACCCCTACTAAAGCAAAGTGGGCGTGGCCGGACGTCCCTAAAAAAAGTAGTCCAGGGGTGCAGCTCACTCAAACGGGAGCCCTGGGCAACTTGAACTGCCTCCCGCTTCCCTCACTAGAGACACCCCTGCCAAAGAAGTAACGTTTCTTGCACTGGTTTAATATCATCCTGGAATCAACGATCCTAACAGTGCTGTACTCTGTTTCAATGACATGTAAACGTGAATACAGAAATCCTGTATACAGTGTGTACTGCCAATGTATAATAAAATTGGCGCTTCATTTTGAATGCTGTAGTCAGCTATGAGAGAGTTGGAACAGTCCCACAAATTTTTTCTATTGGGGGTTCACAAAGAATGGGTCTATGTTTTCAAAAAGGTCTAAATTATGCTGTTTTAGCACAAAATGAGTCCTGTTTTTGAAAAATAGGTCCAGATTTCTCATATTTTCGCGTAAAATTGGTCAACTTTTAAGAAAGTGGGTACAGATTTTTCATATTTTTGCATAAAATGGGCCAACTTTTAAGAAAATGGGTCAATGTTTGAATTTACGCTTGAAGTGGGTCAACAATGATATTGTTCTCCACTGTTACAGCATTGTATATAACAGTGATGTGATGATGATGAATTTTACAAAAAATGTCATTTTCTGGTCATCTAGAGGTACTATTTCCTCAAATTTTCTCATCTCAGACCCGGAGCATGGTGGATCTGAGGGGAGTATCGGCTCACGAAATGTCCCCCACCCCACCTCCACTTTTCAAAACAGATTTGGCCCTTCCTGGGTATGACATTACACTGTACCGAGTCGACACCCGACTTTCGTGATTATGACTATTTTGGATAAAGAATGTTTTGAGCAGTGGTTGATTGAAGGCGCCCCCCCCCCCCCTAAATTTTTTAATGGAAAAAATAAAGAAAAATATAAGGGGTCCCCCTCCCTATCCAAATTTAAGTCTGAGAGTGCAATTTCCGGCCATCTAGAGGTGCCCTAATCATAAATACCTCAGCCCCAGCCATCTTATGTTTGGAGGTTTCCCCAACTCGTACGTCCAAAGAATATAGATCTATTCTTTGGTCCGATGGTCCGACTGGATGACGAGTCTATCGTATGAATTGTTGTTTTGATTATTCTGTTTGGATCGACCGGAAGAGAAAAATGAGGATGTTTGATGTTTAATGTTAATTTTAGATATAATTCATGTTTTCAAGTGGCGGTGCTAATAATTTAAGTACGTGCGTGTTAAAATTCTGAAGCAGTAAATTATCTAGGAGGATTAGCTAGCCTATTCGGTAAGCCTAGGCTAGGCCTAGTTGGAGAGTTCAACTCTTCTCTACCCCGGCCTGAGTGAGGCTGAAGCCAAGGGTAGGCTCAAGCCGCCTAGCGCCTACACCTCCTACCTAGCTAGAGAAGCTAGGCTAGGGCTCCTCCCTAGGCATAGGGCACAGGCCCTACCTAGGCTAGGACTAAGTAGTAATGTAGTACAGTAGTAGTACNNNNTTTTTTTTTTTTTTTTTTTTTAATTTCATTGGCCTAATTTAACAATTTATATTTTTTATTTTATTTAAAAAAAATTAGATCTTTATTATGTGGCAAGGAGCATCAGGTAGTCCTAAACAAGGACGACCAGAAATGAGAGGGAAGTTGCAGAGACCAACTAGTTTTAATCCGCCACATACACAACCCTTGCCCCAGCAGTACCCAACCAGTGCTAGACACACTGTAGATCGCAATCGTAAGCTAGGCCTAGTAAGTTATGGAGCTAATCATGGCCGCACGAAGCCGCAGCAGAGGCACAAATCTGGTTACAGTGGTGTACGTCAGCAACAAGTCTTACCTCAGGTAAAGTAAAATGTCTTTATGTTGAATTTCTAAAATAATGGAAGTCGGCCTGATTATAAATAGTGGCTCAAGATTTTTAACAACTTATGCACTTCAATTGTAGCTGGGACTGAGCCAGGGATGTACACTAGTTGTGTCGCCGTAGTGCCGGGAGGTACCTAAAATTTACTCGTAGATGTAACAGGCCTCGAAAGGGCCGGGAATTTTAAAAGCAAGAGTAGCTGTGTTTTCAGGTGTGTAAGCGTAGCCTACTGCTGTCCAACAGGGTCTGGTCCTACTAGTCTACACTAGGCCTAGCATTCAGTCAACACTGTCTGTTTTGATGATCGCCTACCCGTACTTTAGGTCTACCATCATGGTTTCATTTTTTATAGATCACAGTATAAATTACATATAAATAAAAATTGAACCTCCAACCACACAACACTGAGGACCGAGGTAGCGGCGCATGTGAGTGTGTTTCATGAAAATTTGTGAACCATGAATTTGACCTAGCTTGCGTCAAAAATGTGCCACTACATGAGCCAAAGCAAGGAAATTTGTTGCTACTACATGTATTCATTTTCTTATTTAGGCCTAATTTCTGTTTCGATATTGAATAATTAAATTCTATCAATCAGTTATTATTCAATCAGTCAATTTTTTTCTTTTTCTATGATCAATCTGTCAATCTGTCTCCTTTTTGTTTGTACTTTTCCAAACTTCCATGAAAATCTGCTTAGTGATACGCATGCGTAGTGCTTCCATCAAGCAAGCTCATCTACTTGGCCTAGCTCCTGCCTAGCTCTCACGTGCTTCTCCGATTTAGACCTAGACTGGACCTTCAAGTAGGTCTTATCATCCATTCATTTATTAGTGGGGCATTTTACCATGACTACGGTGGTAAGTGACAGGGACTTTGCTGGAGATATGTTAAAACGATGCCTGGCATTGCCGGGAGGTGGCCGGGACTTTCACATGCATGCAACCGTTTTGAAAATTACATCCTTGGCTCGGGATCTAGATGTGTATAAGAGACAGGGACTACAACAGAAATCCCAGCAACTTCAGAAGTCAAGGTAAAGAATGATGGTCAAAGGTCAATATTGTAAGGCCTATCACTTGTAGAGATTCTTATTTTAAAATATCAAGTTTTAAGTTATGGTTTTATTAATATCAAATTTGCATCCTTTTCCAACATTAATGATAATAAAAATAAAAATTTATTTGAAAATCCGACTATGCAATATTTCCAAATCTTCCTAAATATATGTATATAACATACAGTATAATCTACAGTTATTCTATTATTTGAACAAGTCACTTGCTATTGACTGACATGGTAAAAGAAAAGATGTTTTTATTTACAGGTGAAATTGCCGGAGCTAGTACCATCAACAACATGCACCGAGCACACATTCCTTACGGATGCTTCTGAGGTGCGCCACATGGAGGAAGGCCTTACACAGCTTCTTACTGATTTCCATAATGGGAAGTTACGAGCGTTCAGTGGTGAGTGTTGGCAACATGTGACGGTAGTACAGTACATCTTCGGCTGAAGCCCTCTTGTGCCCAGACTATACATCATGACCATATATAGGCACATCATGACCATATATAGGCACATCATGACTATATATGGTCATTCAACATTTTTTTTTTTGTCAAATAAAATTTGATAGTGCGGACAGGGCTTAAGGAAGACGATCAATTATTACTTTGAATGAGAATAAATAAAACAAAAATTGGATTTATTAATCATAATTTTGAAAGTTTTGATAATAATAAGGAGGATTTTATATAACAGTGCTAATGAAAAAGTTTTAATGATAGTGATTATAATAAATTTATTTTTTTTCAGGTTGGTTGTTAACAATAGGTTAAATGTAGATTAGTATTTATTGTTGTGTCTAATTTTCTTCTTAAAAATTATAGATGACACATGTTCCTTTCAAAAAATGGAGAATATTCGAGACCTGCAAGAAAAATTATCACGTTTGCATTTTGACATGGATTCTAAGATGCAAGAACATGAGTAAGTCTTGACCTCAAGTGACCTCAAGATATTTTAAAGGCCAAAGTGACAATTAAGGATGTATGGTCCAAATGGAAAGGGTCTAGAGAATCTCTTACATTCTCCTTTATTTTTCATTTTCATTATCAACTTAACTTTTCTACTTATATGTTCCTAATTTTAAACTGTACAATCTACACTGTATGCATTAAATTTTAAACATCTATTTTTTGTAGATTTGGATCTGAGAATGCGCGACAAGCTGCTTCGCAGAGTATGGACCATCTACTCTCTAATGTAAGTATTTAAAAAAAATCAAATTGATGACTGGATTTTTAAAGATTTCTGTTTTTTACTAAAAATCAGGATAAAAACAATTATTTTCTCCTTGGTTGATAAATTGATTTCTTAGCAAGTAAAAATCCACTCTTCAGGACTTGTGGCAGCTACAGCACAGCGCCACTGTAGGAGCGTGTGGTGTAGCGTGTAAGGTGCAGCGTGTAAGGTTTAGCGTGTAAGGTGTAGCGTGTAAGGTTTAGCGTGTAAGGTGCAGCGTGTAAGGTGTAGCGTGTAAGGTGCAGCGTGTAAGGTGCAGCGTGTAAGGTGTAGCGTGTAAGGTGTAGCGTGTAAGGTGTAGCGTGTAAGGTGTTGGACTTCTGATCGTGAGAATCGGAGTTCCAGACCAACGTCTGTTGCATTGCTTGTGTTCTTGGGCAAGGCATTTTACTTACGTTTGCCTCTCTCAACCCAGGAGTATAAATGGGTACTTGGTAGGATGGTGTGGCATTGAACGTATGTGGTTGTGCATAAAGCAGCATGACTCCCCAGAGAGCACAGAAAGTTTACACAAAAATGTGCTGGTTTGCCAACTAAGTATCCAGTGACTAGGTAACTACTGACGCCAGCACCTTGTATATTCTTCGGTTTGTAATAGGCGCCATATAAATCCGGATTTAAAACAAAAACACTCCCCTGCAGTTTTTTGAGATTGTACTGTCCATTAGTTAAGCCTAAACTTGACGTTAGTCCTGACCCCGAAACCTTAACTCAGAAATACGGGTTGTCTGAAGGGTGATAGTTTTCCACCAAAGTTTTACTATTTTGTATTTTACATTGTATTGTTCTGGTTGCCTTATTGTTTGTTGTTATTGTACAGCATTTTTGCAGGACCTTATTGTAAACAGCATCTGTATATGTTATCCTGCCTTAAGGTGTTAAAAAAAGTAAAAAATTAATTCTTTAACGTGCACCACATTGACGTTACAGGAGACAACAGCTTAATCACATTTCAAAACACAGTGTGATTTGAATGATTTGATTTGATATAACCTGTGTCTACCAGAGACTTAAACACAAATGACTATGGGTCTGGCTTCTATATCAATTATATTATGACCAATCAGAATAATTTCCAACAACTAGTCACAGTGCTCTTTTGCACTTGTTTCTAAAGCAATTAAAGTAAAACAAAAATATGGCATTCAGTAGCAGATCCAGGAATTCAAAATAGAGGGAGGCCAAGGAAGGAATTTCACCTTAGCCCAACCGTAGATGGGGCTGAGGTAAGAAAATTTATGACTATGGTACTTCTAGATTGCCGGAAATGGAACTCTCAGACATAAATTGAAATATATTTTTCTGTTTTACTCCATTTTAAAAAATAATTTTGAAGAATTTAGGAGGAGGGAGCCTGCTGGGCTGGCTTCCATTCCCTCCACTCTGAATCTGGCATTGAATTCTGTCAACCATTTCTTATAATACAAATGAAATGTTAATAATTCTAAACATTATTTTTTTTTCCAGTTGAACCAGTTGAGCATGGCTGTGTATCCTTTGCATAGTGGTTGTATTGCTTAGTATTATCACTTATTCTTGGCATTTGTATTATCTGCTGCCGCTGCTACTACTAGCCCTGTCATACTGACCTATGCACAGTATGCAAATATTGACTGCTCATGTGGGGAATGGTGAAATCCATGTGGTGATGTGGAGAACATACTGTAGCCTACTATCATTGCTGAGGGATGAAGGCTACGGTGTCCACATTACCGTTCCCCAAACCTAGAACAGTCAATATTTCTTTTATATACCTTATACATAGATTCTACAAGGCCTAAAACCAGGCCTGGCTTAATTCCTAGGCCTAGGCAGTCAAAGGGTCAATCTCACTCAGCGCTGTAGAGATCTAGAGATTGCATCGTGACAGAACTAAAAAGTACTATCATTTAACATGATAGTACTTTTTCCTCTGCAATTTATGAACTATCATTCAACCTACGTCATAGGTGTAATGGTTGAAGTAACTACCCAGTTTTTAACCAATCAACTGCCTAGAATCTATGTATGTGGCATATAATATATTCTATTAAGATCAAAATTATATAATACCAATATATTAACACTTGAGCATTGATAACTCTACAGTAAATAATACAGTGTTAATAAGTCATGCATTTTTAGCAAGGTATTGGCAGATTTTCCTAATTGGTAATCACATTTTACTGAGGTTTTACCATTATTTTACCTTAACTGAACAACACCAGTCATAGTATGCAGGCCCACGATGATTGAAATGTTGAGCCTCTGCAATAAAGGAAAGAAGAACAGCCATCAATCTACACTACAATTTTTTTGAGAAAAATATTTAACATGAGAACTAGAATGAAGGGTGCCACCATAATGCAAAATACAGGATCATAGACACATATAGTTTTATGAATTAAGTGTTTGTTATATTTTGTATTGTATTTTCATAGAACTTTTGATAGTGTGTTAATGCATGTTTCATATATATTTAAAAATATTTCTATAATAGCAAAGATATTTAATAATTTAATTCAAAGTTGAATCAATCAAATCTAACTAATACCTCAATGTATCAAACAAAAAAAATATTCATAAAACAGAAAAGGTAGTCTGGTTTATGTTTTACAGTGCTGATAAATAAAAACAAAGGATTATTATGTGTAGTATTAAAAGTTGATCACAGAATAGGATTAATAAAAACAAACCAACGTGGTGCGTACGTAATTTAAATACATAATTGATCAATTATATTGGTTAATAAAATCATTGTAATATGACAATACGATAGCTTGTTCATTAATCAGAACATGCTGTTCTAGAGTAGGAATAGAAATTGTCTGATGTGTTCTTGGTGAATGTACGTGTCTTCACTAGCATAAGCAGGTGCCAAGCTAGTCTAGTATTCTATCTTTGACTTTTTTTAATGTCTGTCTTTAAATTCAAAATTGATTGATTAAAAATTAAATTAGTCTACGATAGGTGATGTTTCGTGATATTCAAGAGTGAATTCGCAAACGGCCGGGATGTATATATTCACAGTAGAATAATGTGGGAGTTCTGGAATGTCACTGTGACGCCCGAAAAAATGTATTGTCTTGTTAATATCAAATTGGGTATATATGAGGCTTGCCATTCCAAAATCAGCGTACGGTCTCTAGATTTTAAACTGAGTAATTAGCCTACGAATGTGGCAGTCCATTAAATGACTTATCATATTAAAGCTTACAATGTGAAGAATATATTAAAAAGTCAATTTCCATTTTTTAGTACTGATGATGGTTTTGGGATGGCGAGCCTCACATGGTGTAAAGGATACTGTCAACGTAACTCGCTGCTGCAGGACCTTGAGTCAGGCTTGACGTAAGCCTGGCTTATCTTCAAATCTGAACGCTAAAGTGTCTAAATATGACCCGACTGTAGAAGTGCTCCTTTCTATGCCATAAAAAAGTGAAGAAAATATTATGCACATTAATTTAACTTGTCATGAAGAATTAGGGTGTAAATGTGAGGGTCATTTTAATTTCTGACGTCCCAGACCTAAATATCTATGAAGAAATGATCTACTTTTGGTGACGATCCAGGTTTGGGTGGGGATGTGAGCATGGAGGCATAATGTGGGGCCATTTAAAGATTTGTTTGGACAGTCAATTGAATTATATAAACGCAATTCGCGTTTTCTAAAAGAATTTTCTTTTCTAATTTATTTTACTTCTTCAATCCAGTGCTAGGCCTACTATTTTTTTCTGACCGGCACTTTGGTCAATTTCCGTGCTTGAATCACTTTCAAACATTGTCCAAGCAAACATATTAACCGTGTGCACATCAAGAAATCATTTTAATATTTTGAATGTTATTAGCAGTCATAGTTCGAGTTTCTCTGACGTCGAGTTGCTTTTCATGTGTTCATAATTTTCTGTATGATTTAATTTTTGTTTTTCGTTTGTTATTTTACGCTAGAATTTTCAAATGAGTTTATTATTTATTTTTTTATTTCAACATCACTCCTCATTTCAGCAATGAGGAAAACCCTATGTTCTGTTTTACAATGTATAATGATCACAATATGCGTAATAATAATAAAAATAATAAATCAGAAATTGTTGGCCGCGCCAATTCAAACATCATCAAAGGGGCCAATAGAACAAAATATACTGTAGAACTAAATTTGCAGAATATTTAAAACAGAAGTGGGTATACTGTCCAGTCAAAAATCACCTTAACCATGTACCTCAACGAAACTCAAACCGTGTGTCCTTTATGTATTAGAAAGATCATATCACTTGATGTTGCCTCGTACAAAAAGTGGAATTTAAGGAAAAAAGGAAGTTTTATAACCAGATAATAGGCAGTTTTCGCCGCACGACGTTAACGTTAACGTTAACGAATGATGTCATATTTTATTCATCTTGCGTTGCGGTGTACGTCAGGATTTTACGTGCTTGACGTACGTTAGTTACGAGTTTGCGCATGCATATTTCGGTTTGTTTACAAAAGGGGCGGAGCTATCGCGCTGCATGTTGGGTACTAACGTTAAAGTTAAGGTTAACGTCGTGCATGGAAACTACCTACGATATATTTTAAATCATGCAAATCTCAAAAAAACCGAAATAAAAACTATAAATACGTGTGAGTTTAATAAATAATTAATGTGGCCTTCCATATACAGTACAAACCCTCATTTACGAACCCAGATTTAACGAATTCTCGATTTTACGAACGTAAAATAAAGGTGATGACGTCATAAAAATTTAAGCGCAAGATTAAAAAAAAAATCCGCTTATATTGTAACTGTTAATAGCATGCATACAACCAAAGAAAAATAGAACAAGAGAACAAAGTCCCGTTCGTAAAAACGTCACGCCTGTGTAGGACGCCCACTAACGGTTGTATGTTCTTTTTATTACCCAGTGCAGCGCTGCGCAGAGCGGTAGAAGTACGCCCGCTATAAACTCAGTAAGCAGAAAACACCATGAAAACCATAGAGGTATAATAATAACTCTGCATTGCTGCGCCATCTCGTCAGCACTCTAGTTGTTTAATAGCTCTATGATGAAAACACACACATGCACATGTGTGCAGCCATAAAAGACTTTGAAGAGGCGTTAGAGGGCCTCCTTCACTTAAGAATTACATAGTACTGTATAGTATGGTGTGTTGTGTTGTATGCATGCTAATAACAGTTACAATTCGAGCGGATATTTTTAAAATCTTTTACTTAAATTTGTATGACGTTGTTCTAAAATTCACATCACCTTTATTTCAACGTTGGTAATATCGGGAATTCGTTAAATCGGGGTTCGTAAATGAGGGTTTCTTCTGGTCTTCAGGTCATACGAAACACAACTCACCAAGGAGGAGTGACAAAAACAATGATCGTCATGAATATCTTGACAATTCTCATCACTTTGTTCAGTCTGTTTAGTAGCCTAACGGGTAAGTGTCTTTCATCCTCCTTTTTGCTGAATTTACAGAGAGAAGTAAACGTGGTGCGATACATAAGTCGGGAACACACCTGCTTAATAATAATAATAAGAGCTATATTCCGGTATCTGCTTGGCGAATGGGGCATTCGCTACTTTCAATAATAGATGCGTTACCGTCGTACTTATTTTTTTGATACACTGTGCTCCAGTGCGGGACCAAATTCTGCACTGCTGGAGCACAGTGAGATATAGAATAGGGATACCTGTCTTATTTTAAAACTTTTTCATATTTTAAAGAAAAAAGATTACAGGTTGGCCTACCTGTCTATATTTAAAATAGGCCTACTTGTTTATTATTTAAATACACTGTGGACCCAGTTTGGCACTAAGCACAGTGATATAGAATAGGGATACTTGTCTGTATTCCAGTGGCGCATATAGCAGTATTTCAGCATTGCTCTAGGCAGTAGCGTGTCTAGCAGTATTAAAATGTGGGCGCGACCAAAATATGAGGGGGCGTGGAATTTATTTTCGGTGGCCACGCCCACTGAAAAATATTGCTTCTTAGATTCCTGAATACACGTTAACCGTGACAGCATAAGCCTAGCCTCCACCCCCCCCCCTTGGATACGCCACTGATTTTAACTCTTGTTGCCCACCGCAAAAAAAAAAAACCGACTGGCAAGATACATAGGCCTAAGTCATCAAAACAGAATGCAATAGAAAACAAGACTAAATCTAGAGAATATTTGGATACGACATGAACAGAAACTTTGTTTCATTTAGCATCTATTTTTCCCTTTTTTTGTAAATCTTTATAGCATTACCCTCTCTTTATCTCTTCAATCCAATCGGGTTTTATTATTTGGTAACTTTTTATTTAGAATTTCAGTGTTGTCACTTTTTAATTTTTTCTCTTATAATTTTGAATTAATAAATGTGTATCAAAATGGGCATAGTCAGAGGGGTGCAACCATTATTTGGAGATGTTAATGATGTAACGCTAGGCATAAGATAATACATTTCATTCTTCTTTAGTGTTAAAACTGGACTGCTTCTAATCTGTTATTTTTTAAAGATTTAGCCAATGATTTAAGTCCAGTGTCATGGAAGACCTCATTAGAAATTGAAAATGTGTAGCTATGTAGCCTAATGACAAAATAAAAGGGTGTGGTTTTCTTAACAGGGGCACTTGAATGTTACAAATGCGAGAACTGTGGAGCAGAATCTGGAGACATCGAGTCATGTAGTATTGTAAACCAGCCTGCCAGCGAAAAGTGTGGAAAATTCATTAATGCGTCCGGAGGTAAACAGACTACTTCTGTATCTGGTGGTGGCGCCAGACTTTCGCGACTAGACGCAGGGTTCCCGGAATGCCACCCTCAGCGGCGTGTGCGAAGCACAACTCAAGAGTCAGAAGTGGAACGTGACTTTCCGATATGGTTTCGTAGCCAGATTTCCGAGAAAAACTTCAGCTTCCTGTATTTCTCGACTGAGACGTCAATGGGAGCTGTAATTTGTATGGCAAGGAGATGGTGCTATAATATGATATCTCTTCTTTGTTCTATTTTCAAATTTAGAATAAAGAAATAAAAATAAAATAAAACGTATGTATGTACAGTATAGGAAACAGGAAATGGAATGGACTTTAAAAACACAATTTGTATTCTCACAGATGTCCGAAGAGATGTTTTTTTGTTTTTTTTTATATATAAGAAAGGCACATTTGAAATATTATAATGAATTTGATTAATTTGTTTTTGCAGTTGTTAGTCGAAGATGTACTAACAATCTGGAATGTACAGCAAGGAACGTTTATACGAACGAGTGTGTTTCTGGTATCAAGAAAGACTGCTTCAATTGCTGCTCAACTGATCTGTGTAATGCCGCCACCCCGAGTGTCGTTACTGCCTCATCTACCAAGAAAGGGAGGGAGGAAGAAGAGGAAGAAGAAAAGAGAAGAAAGAAAAGAAAATCAAGAAGAAGGAGATCGTCAAAGAAAAAGGATAGATACGAAGGCAATAACGGACAGACAGGTTAAGTAAAAAAAAGAAAAGAATGAAAAATTTATATAGCAGAAATATATTTATAATTATTAGGATTTTTATATAATTTGGAACCAGGTCTCGATATTACCGTACTCGCACGAATAAGTGCCCGTTCGAATAAGTGCCCCTCTCGAATAAGCGTGAAAATTTTGAGGACCCAGACCTAAATATCTCTTTAAAAAATTCAATAGGTATAATTTAAACCTTGTATAAGAGTTTGTCAAGGTCAAGTAAAGAATTAATTAAATTTTTGTGACGATCCGGAGTAGGGTGTAAATCTGAGGACCATTGGAAAGAAAACGTCCCAGACCACATATTTCATAAACGGATCAACTGATCTGAATGAAACATTTCAGAAAAAATTTAACCAAGTTACAAGGAAAATAGTATTATGTGTTTACGACGAATCAGTCAAGGGTTTAAATTGAAGGGTCATTTAAATTTTTGAGATCCCAGACGTAAATATCTATAAAAAGTTTTCAATGGGTGTAAATGTAACTTTCTATAATAGTTTGAATGTCCAGTAAAGAAATGACTGAATATTTGTGATGATCCGGCGTAGGGTGAGAATATGAGGACCATTTAAAGGCAAACGTCCCAGACCAGATATTTCAAAAACGGGTCAACCGATCCGAATAAAACTTTCGGGAAAGTTTAACCCAAGTCACAAGGAAGATGTTATTACGTGTCATATAGTAAAATTATGTGCTGGTTATGACTGTAAACTACAGCCGACTTGTTATGGGTTCTAAGGCCTAACTAAAGGAAATGTAAAAAAAAAAATACAGGAGAGTGGAGAGAAATTAGAGTTTGTCAAATATGAATTATTTAAGACAACGGTTGAAAATCTTATCTTATGCTAATGCTAATGCACCCTAGCTAATTAAAATGTGAACAAACTCGTATATCCTGTACTAGAGAGGAACTTGCCAAATAAATCGCTTTTTCTTTTTCTCTCCTTTTTCTCTCCAAACCCTGAATGCTCCGATGTTTTAGTTTTACAAAAGCCGCATTTGATTGGATTTTAGGTACTGATTTACGTTTTAAGTTTTTGTTAGGAATAAATAAAAGAATACACAATTGAAATGAAACACAATAACCAATAGTGCGTAATATCGCCTTAAAACCTTTTTTGAGTGGCTCGCTGGCTGTTCATTAAAATTATGTAGGATTTCTTTAAAAGTATAATTCGAAAGTAAAGTGATTTTATTTTGGTGTCGATTATGGACCATTCAAAGCAAAACGTCGCAGATCAGATATTTCAAAAACTAAACGACCCATCTAAATGAAACTTTCGAGTTTGAACATATTTTTGAGGAAATTTTATAGAAAGAGATTGGCGGTGGGCGGATATGTGCTCTCTACTGATTGCTCTAGTTGTTATTACAATTATCGTCATCATTATCAATTATATTACTAATACTACTGATAATTATTAAATGATGTTATTGATGCATTAAAATTGTGTTTTTCTGAACAGGGCCACTTAAATGCTACAAATGCGACAACTGTGAACAAAATACTGGCAACACTGTGACCTGTGTTGCCACTGCTAAGTGTGGAAAATTCATTTCTTCGTCCGGAGGTAAATAGACCATTTGTTGTTAAGGCATATTTCACATACCTGTGCACTCACAGAAGTTGCGGAGGAATTTATTTGTGATTAGATATTGGCTAATATCTAACCAAAAATTGATATTAGACAATATGGTAATGTGAAAGGAGCCTCAACCTGCCAATAAGGAACGTAATGACGTCACTAAAAGTCATCTGCGCATGCGAGAATGTTAAGGTCACCTCGTCGAGTAGATTCTGGAACGTAATTTGGCCAAATCTACGTACGCAAAGAACGTAGGACACCAGGTAGGACAGTCACGCATGAGTAATTCCGTTTTAGCGTCGCGTCATCGCACAAATTAAAAACAGTCGTGCCCGCATACTTAACTAATTTTAATCATTGATATTGGAGTCCGTGGGACGATGGTTCTATGGATTTGTGAATTTCTCAGCTGCAGAAAGCAGTGTGTCAGGCATAAGAACCAGAGGTGGCATCAGGATTTGCCCGACGTGGCGAGGGGAGGGTGTGGGGGGGGGGTTGATTCCCCAACAAAAAATATGGGCGTGGCGAGCGTTGCCCAAAATCTCCCGAAAGTTTTCCAGCGGGGCGAAACCACCCAAAAATATGAAAATTTTGGGATTTCAACAGCCTAGTTAATTGATTTTGGAGTCTACTAATATGGTGAAAATACATATAATTTCTTTCTCCTTGACGAATTGTGGTTTTCCTTTGGGGTGGGGGGGGGGTAGCTCTCCCAATTCAGCTTATCTTCCTACATCCCACTTAAATGTGGAATTTCTCAAGGAACAAGTTGGGCTCGATTGGTTTTCTAATTATGGTAAGCGACGCGACGCACAAAGAAAAAAAAAAACCCATTAGTACAATCTTGCTTTAATGGCAAACCAATTTCTCTTGTTAATGAAGCTGATATTCTTAGGGTATTTATACAGAATAATCTTAAATGGAATACTCATATTAAATCTATTGTCACTAAAGCCAACAAAATCTCGAAAGTTTGAACTTGACAGGTAAGAACTTTGCGCTTTCTACCAGAGTTATATCGGGCCTCTAATGGAATACTCTGATGCTGTGTGGCATCCTGGTCTTACCAGTTAGATATATATATTATATATAGTGTATATATATTATATATATATATATCAGTCATTATCAGTAATAATATTAATGCTATACAGAAAAAGGGCTTGCTATATCATTCTTGGGAGAAATTTTACTTTACTTCATACGAACAGGCTTAGGCCTTTGTGATCTTGATTTACTGAGGAAGGTAGCCCACTGTCATAAGTTCGCGAAGGGTCTGTACTCAACACTCTTTTGGTTTTATTCCACCAACTCGTTATCAAAATCACAATAGAAATCTTTGAAATGCTAATAACATTTCTCAATTCACGACAATAGTGCAATACCATATTTTATGTCAGATTACTTAATGAATCTTGATTAGTGTAATTGGTAGCTTTATTACTGCTACCCTCCTCACTTTGATTGTTGCTACTGTTCTGAAGGCCCTTGCTTCTTCCTTATATATATGTATATATATATATATATATATATAATATATATATATACAGTATATATATATATATATACAGTATATATATAGGATAT